GAAGAGAAACATTTGGCTGGATCAACACTTTCCTTTTCCTTTGGCTGGCACTATTTTGCAGCCGTTCTGTAGGCTGTGGAATGACCAGCGGTGTCATTCCACCTGCTGACCTTCTTCGTTTCTTTTGCATGTTGACTGATTTGGGCTCAGCCACTGACATCTAACACTATCCAATATTACAGTGAAAACCTGCAAAGGTCGTTGCTTTGAAAGGACCTTTGGAAGCTGCCGTTGTGATAGAGATTGTGTCAAGCTTGGAAACTGCTGCTTAGATTACCAGGAAGCGTGTATACAACCAGGTAAGGATGGAAAAAAGCCATGGGGGCAAACTCTCCTGTTTGGTGAGGTGGGACGGCAGCTCTGTGCGTGTGAGTACTGTTGGGGTTAGGTGGCTGCAGCCCCTGGCTCTGTTCGGAGGAGAAAGGCAACGGAGTGTCGTGGTGGTTCTGATGCCAGCGGTGTCCGGCTCGTCATCCTCCCTCCACTGTGACCACGGGTGGGCTTGCGGTGGTGGTGGCGGCAGTGCTGGGGCCTCCTGTGGAAACATGGGGCTCTGCTGCAGCTGCTGTTGTACACAAACAAAGCTTCTCTTTCACCCAGCTGGATGCAGAGAGCTGACGTAGCTGGCAGGCTGGCTTTCCATCGCTCCTGCTGGGAGAGAGGCGGGGGGGGGCAGTGCTGCTGCCCTCCCCCTTGGATGCCGGGTCTCAGCCAGCCTGTAGTCCTCTGTCTGGGGGCGAGTGAACAGTAACCCATGTTGTCCCTAGTGTCTGGGACAACTCCTATGTTCTTGGGCAAGCCAGGAATAGGAGCACATATTCTATCTTTCTGCCATTGCCCATGTGAAAAGGGGCAGAGCAGAGCAGCTCTGTGAAAGCGGCCGTCTCTCCATACCCACCTCCTCATCCCCTCTGCCCCACTGCTCTCCAGCTTGGGTGTGAAGCAAGGGTCACGTTGCCGGCCCATGGGACAAGGCCAGCCGACGGAACAGATGGCAATGGTAGAGAATGGTTGGGAAGTGAGGAGTGGTTCTCATGGTTTGCCAGAAAGCAAAGGCTGGAGGCGAGGGTGTGAAAAGTACCATGGAGAACTTCTTCAGGGTAAATGTCAGTGCGGGTAGTAACACAGAGGACAGGACTTCACAGTTTTCTCTAACTTAGTTTTGCCCTAATACTTCATATGCAGCGTTCTTTTCAGTTAACTATTTTTCTTCTCACTCCCCTTTATGTGTATTTGTAAAATTCATCAATGTAGTCTCACCCTGAAATTAAAATCAAATGATTAAACTGGGCTCAGGTCCTTGCTTTAACCGACTTATTGAATCTAAATTGCACAAAGCTTTTTCGCTTTTAGAGTAGTTGCATGGGATTTGCTCTTCAATTTGTTTCATTACACCACTGTCCCTCAGTTGAATGAATTCTTTAAAAACAAACTGGAGAGTCTGTCGTAGCACTAAGAATGGGAATTCATTGCTTGGTGTTGTTTTTTTTTTTTAAATTAATTAGCCTTAACATCAGTGGAGAATCAAATTTGAATTTCCAAATAGTATCATGTAACTATAACCATAATAGATTCTTCTGTCTCTCTCAAAGATAAAGATCTACTGACATTGGTAGAGTTACTGAAGTTCAGTATTTCTGAAAGTGAGATTAACCTCTTGAGAATGCTTTTAGGGATTTCTAGTTGCTAGACATGTATGAAGATCATGTACTGGCTGTCCTTTACTCAGTCATTTAGATTTGACTTCCATGTCTCTGAGACCTTCACTGAAGTATTCGCTCAGTTGGTAAATCCTCATTGACTGCAAAGGATCTACTTGTATTTGCAACTGATAACAAAATGATTGTCTTCAAATGATATGATGTATTGGAATATTCTGTTCAGAAAAATCAGTATGATGCAGGAAAAAAAATCTCTACCAAAACCAGCAATGAAGCTGGAGTCAGTAGGTCTTCCTGTGAGCTTATGTATATAGTCTCAAATAGCGGCAGAGTTATGCCTATGCCTAAGAGGTGCTGAAAAAAGCTGGGGTACTTACTTGGTGGTGACTGGTAAAATCCATTGCGACTTCAATGCAAATCAGAACAAGTTACTGCTGCTCAGCATTTTCTAGTCATTCCAAATTCAGACTCAAGTTTGGAGTTTTTATGGGGGAGCTGTTTGGGAGATTCTTTGTATTGTGCATTTACCAGATGAAACCCACATAAAAAAACATATTTAAGGAGGTCTGTAGAAAGGATTCTTTCTGTTGACCTCTTCTGAGCTGTGATATTTATAACCGTACACTGGATAATTGTATTCAGATGGCACTTGGATTATTTAGCCATGAGTGTTTCTGTTTTCCAAAGTGCCAAAACTTGCAATATTATGTGTGTGTAAGATACCTCAGGACTGTTTTTTGGTGAGTATGCATTTGAGACAGAACTTCACACTCAGTTTATTAATTGTGCACTCACACTTACATTAATCATTGTGCTGTCCTTCTCTCTTGTCTGTTTTTTAGCCCACATATGGACCTGCAATAAATTCAGGTGTGGAGAGAAGAGGCGACCAGAATATCATTGCTCCTGTTCAGATGACTGCGTGGACAATAAAGATTGCTGTGTCAATTATCACGCTGTTTGTAAAGGTAAATGTTCTCAGCAAAGTCCTACAGTCTCTCTTATACGTACCCACGTTTATGTGAAAGGAGGAAGGACGTAATATAATTTTAAAAGCATACAGCAAAATTAAAAAAACTTGCATTTATCCTTAAGAATATACTGTCTTAAAAAATAAATTGCACTCATTTGTTTTAAGGAGAGGCAAGCTGGGTTGAAGAAGAGTGTGAGGACATTACTGAACCTCAGTGTCCGAAAGGGTGAGGATATTGTATATTTGCCTAGCTCTGCTCTTCGCTTACGTTTCATTTTTGAGATAATTTTCCGTGCTGTGCCTTCTTGGAACCTGCTTGCCTTTCTTACCCACAGTAAAAGCAGCTGCCAGACAGAGAAGGACGCCTGTTCAGCCAGCATTTGGTGGTGCTTAACTAACAGATCCGATTGCTCTATCCCAGCCCCACTCGTGTATCCCAGCACTTGCTTGACTTGCAAGACGTGCCTATTCCTGAACCCCGCTGTCTCTCACTGACGTGTGTGGGCTCTGGGCAGCTCTGCCTTGAGCCACTCTCTTCGTTGTCCTACATGTGCTCCAATACCCGCTGTCCCAAATATTTTGCAGCCCGCCCAGCAGTCTTGGACTCCTGAGGCTGCCTCCCTCCCCCGTCACCTCAGAAGCCCTTTCCACTTCCTCGCCTGTTCCAGCCCCAGAGCTGCAAGACGTGGGCAGATCACTGTCCCAGTTTCACCGGCAGTGGGACAGCATTGTTTGCAAACTGTCTGAGCTGCTTTCTTTAAAAGGTGCAAAATGCCAAGGGATCCTTGTATCCTCTGGCTCAGCCCTGTGTTCAGTCCGCTCCTGCGAGTTATGTATGCACTGTGTAAGGAATTACTCGTCTAGTTTGTGGCATCAGCGCTCGGGCTCAAATAGTACGGCAAAGCTCCCAGCCAGGAAAAAAGCCTGCATTTCTTGTCATGATTTTGCAGTGGGATCTTCAAATTGACTTTAAAGCTAGAGCTGACTGCAAATTATGACTGCATGTGTAAGTTATTAATAGAAGTGACTTAAACATTCTTGACTGAAAAGTGTTCCACTGGAAAATAGTTTGTAAATATGGTGTGGGGATGAGTTGACTTCAGTTATGCTCTTGTCTGAAAAGTGTCAAAAAATCAAAACTGTTTTCATTTTGATGATTTTGAAATTATAGTGTGCTGGGGATATTTCTAGTGAAGTAAAAACATTTCATTTTGTTCTTATGTCGTTACTTTTTTTGACTTATGTTAAGATATTTAAATCGTGCTATATTTATTCATTGGAGTTATAGTACTGTCAAACAACATACATTTCCTTTTGGAATATTTTTATCTCAAACAACTACTTTACATTTTGATTCAGAGCAGTAGCAAATGCTGACACTTCGGAACCTTCATCAAGGCAGAAATTGGAGCTTCTGTCCAACTTGGAGCCCAAGTCCCGATAAACTCGAGAGTGTGGTAGGAGGGTGGTAGCCAGGCGGTTCTGGAAGCTTTTGTCATTAACTCCTGCTCTGAGGTTAGGGACCATTCAGGACTGTGGGCTGGGAACTGACTCCTGGATGCTGATTTCTCTAATGTGTGAGTAGGAAGCGTTACCCTCAAGGGGTGGATAAACAAGCAAAAAAGCCTTATGCAGATCCACAGTCAGAGTTAATGGTGTAAATGCCATAAGGCAATACCTGTTGGTTAACTTTGGTTTAAGGGTATTTTTTTTTGTTATTTCTGTTCAGCGCATGAAAGGGATGTGTAGTTAGTCTGCTTAGATTGTTTTAATCCTGGCAAAACCAAAAATGTTGCGATAAAACCCAGGCCAGGAGAGGGTGATGTGTGGTCAAAGTTGAATCAAACTGTATCGACTGAAGGCTCATCGCAGACTGTTAGCACGCAAGCCTCTCCCAAAACTAACTACTCTGTAAACAATCCACGTCTGCCGATGGTGGGTATGCAGGAGTGCAGTGACTTTAGCTCAGTGCTCATTTTGAGGGCTCAGGATATCATCTCTGATTCTATGCCTATTAATACAGCTTGTTTTGTGGGTTCAAATTGCTGTTTTTATTCTGTTTTGGTTTTAGTTGGGTTTGCTCTTGTGGTGCAGAACAGACAAAAGACAATGCAGTGTTCAGTGAGGTGCTTAATCTGAGAAATACCACTGATTTCAGTGAGACTGATCAAATGCTTAAAATGAAGTACGCACCTAAGTCTTTCCAAGATTAGTTTCGATGTTACTTAATAGGGTTATAAAGTTAATGGGCTATAAGATCCCAGGAGTGACCTAGTCCCTCCCACTGTTCTAGGGGTGAAGTAATACTTGGAGAATTCAAACCTACTTAAGCAGTTTATCCTAGTGCTTAGCTAGGTGGTTTTCCTGGTATAACTTAGTATCTTTTGCTGTGCTTTAAGCCTATTACTGTGTGTTCTGTCTTCATGGAGCTGGAAGAGCAGCTGATTCCTTTCCTCTCTGCAGATCTCTCCTGTATATTTGACGATTGCGATTATGCCTCCTGTTGAGGCTTTGTGTACATTTAGCGGAAATAAAGCTTTAGTTCCTATGCTTTGTGGCTGTATATCTGTGTGCTTGTGGGATAGGAAGTTTTCTGTGTAGTATGCTTTTCAAGGGGAGTTTCTTTTCTTTTTTCCTTTTCTTGCTTCTATTTTTTCCTGCAGTTGTGGTCTAACGTGCCTGTGGTGAGGCAGGTCAGCTTGGCAGCATGGTCCGCGGTTCTGGGCTCTTGATCATCCAGACTGGTGAACCTGCTAGACCACAGCAAGCCTGTGTTGCCTGCGTTATGTTTCCATACAAGCCAGTTTATAGGAGGGGGTAATTACTGCTGCATTTCCTTCAGTTTGGAGTCAGGATGTGACCATGACGTACGTATTTATCCAAGAGCTGTGAAACACCCTTGTCGCACTGTTTGGACACAGCCAGCATGAATCGCTGGCAGGGCCAAAACTTGAGCCTTCCAGCCTTCTGTGCTCATGGTAGCACATTTTTGAAGTAGCGAGTGTAACCTTGGCTGCTAACAGGAAAAAAGTCATGGAAATCGCTGCTATTTCTCAGAACTTAGCTCAGGTTTGGGGATTTTACTGGAGCTTTTCCAAAGAGAGCGCAGTTTAACAGTGGTCTCTCGTGCTTTGCTTCCCTGAGCACAGGACAGATCACCAACTATAGGAGTTTCAGAATGTGGAGAGTATATGAGAAGTCAAATGGCCAGTCTCCCTAGTTGTGGCCATGGTCTGCTTTGCCAAGGTTAATTTTACATGTGCAAGGGGGTCAGTAACTGGATTTGCAGACAGACAAAACATGTGCTTAACAGCTGGTTTACTTGTAAATGCCAAACCAGAAACAGTTGCGTAAAGTCCCTTTTGAATTTGGTTTTTTTGTTTTTTTTTTTTTTTGTTTTTTTTTTAAATATGTATTTTAAGTTAGTCTTGTCAATAAGTAATATTGAGCAGTCTTTGCCTCAAATTTCATATTATATTGCAGGAAACTTTGCAGTGAATATTTTTAGATCTCTGCATTGCAGGGAATCAATTTGGGGGGTCGGCGGAGAGAAGGTATTTGCAAAAGCTGCCGAGATCAGAATCTGTGGTGCAAAGAATACTTGTAACAGGGGCAAAGGTAGTACATGAGGTTTCCCTACTCTATTCTGCCAAAGGACTTTAGTTTTGGTCTGAAGATCATTTATTTCTTGTTCCCAACTAACTGCCCCTACTAAGATTTTCAAAAGATAGTATTAAATATGCCATATAAATAAAAAACAGGCTACAAACACACATCTTACACATACATTTTAATGTTTTATTCTATCTGGGGTGCAGGGTAGGCTATGTAATGGTTCTGACTAATGAAATGCTTTTGGCTGAACTGTTGTCCAAATTGTTGATCAAAATTTTTGTAGGATAGACAAGTTTTGATTGTCTGACTAATCTTCAGTTTAATATAGTCATGCTTGTTTGACTGAAAAAAGGCTTATAAAAGTTTCACTTGTAAATGACTGTTGAGGGTTTTTTATGGGGTACATCACTAAAGAAACTGTCAACACTTTATAAATAGTATTTGTCTTCTCACTGTTTTATTTTGGGAAACTAGAGTGCAACAAACTTCTTAAAATTTTCATTTTACAATTTGTAAACATAAAAAGGAAAAATGAGCTTGCAGTTGGCATGGGAAATATGTTCTTTTAGGCGAATCTGTATTTTCAGTGGTTGTTGCTGCACTGGATTTTTTTTTTTTAGTCTCACATGTCCTCATATCTGTAGGTCAAACACAGGACATTTTTTCAAGAAAGAAGCTACTAATGACTATTCTCATCTGTGATGCAAAATTTTAACTACTTACAGTTGGAGAGAAATTGTTTGAATAGGGCTGAAGTTTGGAACAAGTCAAGGCTGGAAAACATAGGTCCTGTGGAGACCAGAAGAAGAAAATTTATTTTTCCTAGTTCCAGTGAAATCAGTTTTTGAATTTCTGACACTTTTTAGGCAGAAATACTGTTACAGTGTTCCAGTTATAGGGCCACATTTTGCAGTTTGGAGATTGGTAGTACTTCTGGTCCAGTAACCAAGTTGTTCTTGGTTAAATAATCTTTACAATATGAAAGGAAAAATGTGTCATGTAGTTGCTGATGTGACATATCCTGTACACTAGGCTTTCTTACAGTTTTGTGCACTGTATACATAAAAAGATAAATTCTTTTTTTTCAGCTAGACTACAAGTTGTTCAGCAGCAGAGTGAAGAGGGGAAAGATGTGGC